ATAAGGTTGTAACTGCTCAGGAAGCCCTTCAGGACGTGCGTGACATATGACGACGACGAGTACTGCACGACGGACATTCTCATGGTGGTGAGAAGCTGCTGAGCCCGGTTGCAGTAGTCCATCGCAGTCTCTTGGTCGCCCATCCGCATATGCGTCATCTGCTCCTCGAGCTGGCCGATGTACAGGTCGTCGGTGACCTGGTACGTCGACTCGATGAAGTGCCACGCCTGGTGGCCGGCGTCCAAGTAGTCCCTGCATGGCTTCAAGGCGATTTGCATGCCCAGGAAGCAGCACCGCGAGATGACCCTGAAGGTCAGCAGGTGCACTACGCGGAACTCCGCTTGCAGGTTGGGGTAGCTCTCCGACGGCGTTGCCACGGTGCCCCTGGCGAAGCCGATCAGCCCAGCCATCTCCAGTTGGGGCTCGATGGCTTCCTTCAACGTGAGTATGTTGGGGAGGCCGACCAGCAGGGGGGTGACCGAGATCTTGTCTGGCGTGAATTTGAAGTAGCCGTAGCTCGGTGCTATCCCGCTCGCAATCACATGGGTCGCCGACATCGGCGACAAACCGCTTCGTCGACCTCCGACGTCGCCTTGCAAAGAGTTTGCAGCCACCAATTACTGCATCCCTTGCGCCTGAACGCCGCCGACTTCATCGGCGTGGATTTCTCCTCTCTGACTCGACGACGTGCCTCCCGCACTACTGCCGTCTTGGTCACCGGTTGTTGATGCCCGCATCGATGCCGCCCTCGTTGTTCACCAGTCGAGGAGAAGCAGGTCGAGAAGGGTGCTCTGTCGCCCATACGGCGCGGATGCCAGCCTCGATGACTGCCCAGGGGATGTCCTCGTACTCGCGCGCCTCATGGCGTCTCCTTGAATCCTCCAGTCGTGCCTCTAAGGTGTGTGCAACACCAACGTCACCTACGCCAACCATGGTGGTGACTAACGCACAGCTGCCTGCCTACGAAAAACTTAGGTATGTGGCAACTATGTCGACTAGACTGAAAGGTAAGTCGTGTGCTGTCCACGCTCACTGCACCATGCGGAGATAATGTCAGAATGAACCAGAGTGCAAAAGAAGAATAATGAAAGAGGGGTTTCACTAGCATGAGTTGGGATACATATAGCAAACCCTAACTGGGTTGTACTCGCTATAGAGCACCCCACTACAGGCTAGATAATAACATTCTGACACACCCCCATAGCCAAAGTGGGGTGTAATCAGCACAATGAGCAGACATAGTAATAGTTCACAATTATAAGCAAAGCTAGAGGCGATCACAGAGGGAAAGTGAGGAGGAGGAGGAATTGTGAAGGGAGAGAAGATGGGAGACGACGGCTGAAGTTGTAGACACACGTGTCAGAATATTATGCTCTAGCCTGTAGTGGGGTGCTCTATAGCGAGTACAACCCTTCTAGGGTTTGCTATTTGTATCCTCATTCTTGCTAGTGCAAACTCTCTTTTGCCTAACTCTCTCTTGCCTAGCTAGGTAAACCCTAGCTATGGCTCCTCACTATACCTACTACTCTCACATGCTATCAGAGCAGTGTCGCTCCTGGCCTGTGGGCCCGCCTGCTTCCGCTGCCCTACTGTCTGTCGCGCGCCCCGTGGCGTGCGATGTACATTTTTCTTCCCGCCACGTGCTCGGGGCGCGTGGCGGTTTTCTGCCCGCCATGCGCTCGGGACGCGTGGCGGTTTCCGTCAACCCGCGCGCCCGTCCCCGTCGACCTTCGCGCGGCTCCCCGTTGCCCTTCGCGGCGGCCCCGTCGACCCGCCCGCGGCTCCCCGTCGCCCTTCGCGGTGGCCCCGTCGACCCGCCCGCGGCTCCCCGTCGACCTTCGCGGCGGCCCCGTCAACCCGCGCGCGGATCCCCGTCGCCCTTCGCGGCGGCCCCGTCGACCCGCGCGCTGCCCCCGGGGACCTGTGCGCTCGTCCCCGTCGACCCACGCGTCGCCCTCCGCCCCCCCCCCCCCCCCCCCCTCCCCGACACACCTGACTCTGCTTACCGCACACCTGAGTTCACTTCCCGCACACTTGTGCACTATTCGCGCACACCTGAGGTCGCTTACCGCACACTCAGGGTATGGGGGTGACGGGTATGGGGGTGGCGGGTGTGTGAGCCGTCACCTGCTCCTCCTCCTCCTCCGTCTCCCACTACTGCAGCTGCCGCTGAGGGGGGTGGGTGTGTGGGAGCCGAAGGAGTGGTGCTAGGGGGATGCTATGGGAGTGGAGCTAGGGTTTTAGCAGGGGGTGTGTGTCAAGGGGGGGTGGGACTGTTTGGGGAGGTTGCACGGAGGTTGCCGTCGTGTCGCCAGCAGCACCTGTAGTCCAGGGAGTTGCTCCGGTAGCCCAGTCGCAGCCACCTGTGCCAGTCGCCCGTGGGTCCGTTGCTCGTCTGCCGCTACTTTTAGCTGCGGGGCCAGTTACTCCAGTAGTCCGGAGCGCTGTTCCGGTAGCCGCTGTGCCAGTGTGCCTCCTGTTGCCCGTGTGTATGCAGCTTCAGTCGTCGCCTCCTATCTCCTCTCCTCTTACAGTCTCGCCTCCTCCTCCTCACTTGCCCTCTGCGATAGCCTCTAGCTTTGCTTACATTTGTGAACTTTAAACTGTTGCTTCTTGAACTTGTGCTCAGAATGTGTGGTGACATTGTGATCCACCCTGAGCTTGTTTTGCTTTGCTTGCTCTGCTGATTACACCCCACTTTGGCTATGGGGGTGTGTCAGAATATTATGCTCTAGCCTGTAGTGGGGTGCTCTATAGCGAGTACAACCCTTCTACGGTTTGCTATTTGTATCCTCATTCTTGCTAGTGCAAACTCTCTTTTGCCTAACTCTCTCTTGCCTAGCTAGGTAAACCCTAGCTATGGCTCCTCACCATACCTACTACTTTCACAACACGCGCAACAGGAGGACTGGCACAGTGGCTACCGAGCGCACGAGGGCACCGAACTACGGGAGTATCTGGCTCCGCGGCTACGGCGAGCGGCAGGAGCAACGGACCCACAGGGGACTGGCACAGCAAGGCTCTCTGGGCTACCGAGAGCGCGATGGCTCCGGACTATAGGCGCTGCGCACGACACAACGGCGGCCTCCTCTCAGCCTCCCCAAACAGTCCCACCTCCTTTCCACACACCCCCTGCTGCACCCCTAGCTCCACTCCCACGTCACCCCCACAACCCCACTCCCCGCGGCTCCCACACCTCCACCCCCCTCAGCAGCAGCTTCAGCAGTGGGAGACGAACGAGGAGGAGGGGAACACCCACACTACGCACCCCCATGCTTGCAACCCAACACACCCCACCACCGCGGAACACACGGCGGCACGGGAGGAATGGGCAGCACGGGGGGGGGGGGGGGGGGGGGGCGCTCCTCTTCAGGGCGCCGAAACGGACGGGCGAGGGGGCGCGCGCGGTTCCCCAGGCTACCGCGACAGACGGGCGGGAGGCGCGCGCAGCTCCCCAGGGCGCCGGAACGGACGGGAGGGGACCGCACGCTACTCCCCAAGGCGCCGCGACGGACGGGACGCGCGGCCTGCAGGGCGACGCGACGAGACGGGCGGGGGCTGTGCGCGGGTCCTCACAGCAAAAAACCGCCGCGCGCCCCGAGCGCACGGCAGGAAGAAGATGTCGCGCACCCGAGGCGCGCGAGAAGTAGAACAGCAGTGGAAGCAGTTAGGTGGCGGGCCCACCCACAGGATCGACCCAAGGGGGCTGACCTGCTCTGATAGCATGTCATGATGAACAAGAGTGCAAAAGAAGAATGACGAAAGAGGGGTTTCACTAGCAGCAGTTGGGATACATATAGCAAACCCTAACTGGGTTGTACTCGCTATAGAGCACCCCACTACAGGCTAGATAATAACATTCTGACAGATAACTCAATCAACGGGAGCTAGACTACGGGCTAGGCACGGGGCTAGAGTGATCTCTGCGTTCGTTCCTTTGTCGTTTCCTTGTGCACACAGTGCTTGCTAGTTCACGAGGAGAATTGGCAAGAGTTTCGCCAGGAAAAGTTGACAACAATGGTTGCAACAAGATTGGCAACACAGACTACGTTAGAGCTAGCAAGGCTGCTGGTCGACCTCCAGCGCAGCACCGTCGACTGCAACCCAACGCAGCAGAGCTCGCACCGCTCCAGCGTTGCAGAGTAGCGGTTCACCAACGTTGCAAGTCCATGGTGTGCCAATGCTGGAGCAAGTCGGTTGCACAGCGTTGCACCCACAGGTCAACGGTGCACCTGCTTTGTAGGTGCGTGCAGCTGGTTGGTGCGCCACTCCTCATCACAGGCACAGCGCAGACGTCCGGCAGAGTCCACGCCAGCGACTGCGCCCACCAGCCACGTCGACCTTGGGATACCACCCCTGAGGTCGGTCTCGCAGAAGCCACCCCGGCGACCTTCGCACACGTCGCCCGGGTATCCCGGTCGACCGGGCAACCTCGCTTGGTCGGCCAGCCCAGTCAGTCGCCGACCACCCGTAACCGGCGTCCCCAAGGTCGGCGCCAGCTGGTCGACGCCCGACGTCCTCCCAGGTCGACCCACTGGCTCGACGCCCGCTTGCTCGGCGCCCTACTACTCAGCCCCAGCTCCCCTGTCCTGGTCGACGTCGGCTCCCCCTTCGTCGACCACCAGAACTCGGCGCCCCTTGCAGTGGCCCCCATGCAGATCGATCATCCTCGTCGACCAGCGTGCCGAAATCGGCGTCGCCCACTGCAGCTGATCGGCTGCACTCCCCGTGCACCCGCCTACGTAGTCGGCTCCGCCCAAGCGAGGACGGGGCCAACAACGACTCCCGTTGACAGATGGAAGGGGAACTCACAATGCTTGGGGCAGGTGGAAGGGGAACTCACAATGCTTGGGGGCAGATGGATGGGGAACTCACAAGGCTTGGGGGCGCGGTGGCCACAAGGGGGGCATGAAGGGGCTGGCAGCACAGCGCACGCCCATTTGCTGCACCTGCCACACCAGCGACACCTGCGGCCCCTCGCCCTCCCTGCATCACCCCTCCTAGCTAGTGGTGCTGCCCCCCATGCCTCGCCCACTGCCTGCCTCCCCAGTGAAGGTGGCAGCACCGGCCTCCTTGCCCTCAGCAACAAGTAGCGCCCCTGCCCCCTCCACCCCAGCGCCATCCGCTTCTGCTGCACTGCCGGTAGAGCGAGCCCTCGTGGACCCCGTCATATGCTGTGCTGCTGCCGCCCCATGCTGCCACCTCACCTCATTCCCAGCGCCACTCTCGCTGTGCCCCGAACTGCCTATGATCTGACAAATGCTTTCTGTCCGGTGCTGCTGCTTATGCTCATGCTCATGCTATGAATGGCGATGGCAGTGGCGGTAGTGGTGGGGAAGGCGAGGCCTGTGCGCGAGTGAGAGTGTCAGCCGCACACGGTGGTGCCCCACAGCCAACCCCATGCCACCATGCACTCCCCCACCCCCTGTGCCTCCACCACTGCTGCCCGTAGCAGCAGCACCACCACCACCACTTGTCCTGCACAGGTTACCACTACCACCAGCCGCACCTCTTCTGTTCCCATGTGCACCACCAGTGCCGCTTCTATGCCCCCCCTCCCCTACCAAGCCTCTGCTTCCACCCCCCCTTTCTCCAAGGTACGCGCGCCTGACGAGTCGGCCAACGCTGGAGGAGAAGCCGGAGAGCGACGCCACGGTGTGCTGCGACACGTGGCGCCACGCTGCCAGCCCCCCGCGCCCCACGCCCAGCAGCAGCAGCCCGTGCGGCCCCGCGTGCAGCGAGCCCTGCACAGGCAGCAGCAGCAGGTCGCGGCAGGCGGCGCGCACGCTGTGCAGCAGGCCCAGCGGGTTGAGCAGCAGGTGGTGCGAGGCGATGACGCGCGGCACACACAGCACCCCCTCCGTTATGTAGTGCGCCAGCATGGAAGTGGGAGTACTTCATTGGGGCAAAACTCATGGAACGTGTGATTTGTGTTTCCTATCAAACTTCTGGATGAAATCTGCACTCATCACCGTTGCCTTGGTTCTGAATTTCTCATCAGGGTTTCCTTGTCAAGTTGGGCATTCATGTGTCCTTCTGTGGCAGGTCTGCCTTAGGGCATACTATTGGTCATTCACAGCAAGCGTCGTCTGCAAAAAGGGCAAATCCAAGAAAGTGGTCACGTGCTCAACTATTTTTGCTACATGTATGTCAGAATCCCAACTAGAATCCCAACCACTAGACCATTGGGATAAAAGGGCTTATTTCAATAGCGGTTCAGTGCGCCCATAACCCCCCAGATGAACGCGCCTGTAACCCTCTCCAGGATCAATCGGGCATCCACAGTGCAGATCTACTCACACCCCCCCACACTGGGAGGACTAAGCACAGCGGCAACGGCCTACATGTGCATACACCGGGAATCGAACCCGAGACCGCTCTGATACCATGTCAGAATCCCAACCACTAGACCATTGGGATAAAAGGGCTTGTTTCAGTAGCGGGTCAGAGCGCCCATAACCTCCCAGGCGAACGCGCCTCTAACCCTCTCCAGGATCAATCGGGCATCCACAGTGCAGATCTACTGACACCCCCCCACAGTGGGAGGCCCAGGACTAAGCACAGCGGCAACGACCTAAATGTGCATACACCGGGATTCGAACCCGAGACCGCTCTAATACCATGTCAGAATCCCAACCACTAGACCATTGGGATAAAAGGGCTTGTTTCAGTAGCGGGTCAGTGCGCCCATAACCCCCCAGGCAAACGCGCCTGTAACCCCCCCTAGGATTGATCGGGGATCTCATAGTGTAGCTCTACTGACACCCCCCCACACTGGGAGGCCCAGGACTAAGCACAGCGGCACCGGCCTACATGTGCATACACCGGGAATCGAACCCGCGACCGCTCTGATACCATGTCAGAATCCCAACCACTAGACCATTGGGATAAAAGGGCTTGTTTCAGTAGCGGGTCAGTGCGCCCATAACCCCCCAGACGAACGCGCCTGTAACCCTCTCCAGGATCAATCGGGCATCCACAGTGCAGATCTACTGACAATGTAAATATAAAAAATGCAGATTTTTACAAATACAATGGCAAGAATCGCTCTGGTGATATTGGCAACAGCAAGACAATATGTGCGCCCCACCCTCCTACATAGATATGTATATATGATTCTGTGAAGTTTATCAGGTCGTCAGGATTTTGCGAGTGCTTTGGCAATGTAAACCTGAGAAAAGTCCTTTGAGTTTTATAGAAACTAATGTGAGGAATTGTACCAGCGAAGTCTTGAGAATTCTTGTACTAGTACTTACTGGGCTAACCTGCTTTGTGCATACCCCTCTCACTGCCTTGTCCTAGCCCCTCAAACCTGCACCACTCACTTCACCACAGTTATCCACCTCTTCCGCACTCCCTTCCTCAGTCCTCGTCCCACACCCAAAGCCCGACCCTTCTTCTCTATCGACGGCAACCCCTACCTTGTCACCACTGTCTCTTATGTGTGGACTAACACGAACATGGTCACAACATATCCTAACCGAGCCTACGGACAAGCCAATGCTAACAGTGATTCTGCAAACGTAAGTCACAACCCACTCACAATTCCACCAGTGTCCAACCTTGGATGGTACTACAAGTGTTCCTTCACACGCACTCTTACCTGTCAGGCTAGTAATAGCATTCACAACCCACACCAGACGCATTCTGCTGAAGGGCAGACTTAATCCAGAAAGAGCTGGCTGTGGTGGTGCAGTCAGCCCGACTGGTGCATCGGTCCCTCTGCTCCCCACCCACCCTCCACTTTGGTGGGCACCATGTCCTTTCACCCACTTCTCCCCTGCTGTGTCCTTCTGACTGACTGAGCCTGCCCCTCCTGGAGACTTGACTTCGTGGTTGCAGCAGACTCATAAATCCAGATCCACGCTTACCAGCTCACCTTCTCATGTGGTGTGACAAGAGGCACAGCTGCTCAGCTACCCGTTACTCCACCATCTGAGACAAGAGCGTCCCCAGTGCCTTGGACACGGGATTTTTGCACCACGATGCCTGCGTGCAGCCCTATCATCACAGTTGGGGACTGTTCCAATGTCTTATGTGAGTAGTTTGCTGCAGCAGCGGTCAAACCCATAAAAGCCATTCCTTATCATTGCTTACCAAGGATGCCTGCCTGCCTTTCAATAGGATATTGGTGTCCCTACAGAAGGGAAGATACTATTTCACATAGGATGAGCAAGATATCGAGCGGTGGTTCAATTTGGTTCACCGGGCAAAACATTTTGGCCGCCGGTTTTACTCAAACCAATTCGGTTTAACTGGTTTGACGCACAAACACTTTGAGCCGTACGGGTAACTTTACACGTTGAGACCTGGGCTTCAACTTGCTCTAACACCACTTAACCCACCCTAGTGTAGGTATTTGCCTAAAGTTCATCCTTTCCTTGGAAGAAACACGTTTCTAGCGAAATACAACCGCCTCGAAGTTGGTCCGGTTCACCGAACCGCCCCTGGTACAAGTGGGTATGGATCATGCGCCGCACCTGAAACATAAGGTTCCAGCCAGCAGTTCCGAGATTTTGCCTAGAAACGTTTGGGTCAAATGTCAGAATGTAATTGTATACATTACTTTATAACTGTCTGCAATGTAGACTTAGTGTAGTTATCTTGCTTGTTAGGTGGTGCACCTTTCTTCTCTTCTTTCATATTTGTACCCTTGAGCCTATAGTGAAACCATCCTTTTGGCTTGACAACTATCTCGATACTTTCCTCTCTAGTGCAAACCCTAATGCCTTCTACTAGTTAACTACCTATTGTGACATGGTATCAGAGCGAGGTTTCTCCTAGGACCTGTCTCATAGGGCCCACCACCTCGCTTCCGCTCATGGGCATCTCTGCTGCCCGTCGCACGCCCGGGGTGCGCGTCAGTTTTCTGCCCACCGCGCGCCCTGGGCGCGCGCGTCGATTTTCTGCTCGTCGCGCGCCTCAGGCGTGCGGCGATTTCGCGCGACAGCTTCTGCCCTGCCGCGCGCGGCCCATACGACCCACGCGCTGCCTGTGCAGCCCGTGCCAGGGCCGCGCGCGGCCCGTAGAGCCTGCGCCAGGCCAGCGCGCACCTGCCCTGCTGTGCGCGCGCCTGCACTGCCCCTGCTGTAGCCCGCGCAGCTCCTACCCCGCCCCCTCCCCTCGCCCCCCCCCCCCCCCCGCCCCCCCCTTCTCCTCCATCCCCATGCAGCGCGTGCAGCAGTGGGGGGGAGGGTATGGGGGTGGCGGGTGTGAGTGATCTGCTGCCGCCCCTCCTCCTCTCTCTCCCACTGCTGCAGCTACCGCTGAAGGGGGGGGAGGGTGTGGGGGAGACGAGGTCGTGGCGCTAGGGATGTCGAGGGGTATGAACGGGAGTTTTGGGACAATGGGGGAGGTTGAAGGGGGGTGGCTGCCGTGAAGTCAGCAGCTCTAGTCGCCCGTGAGACCGTTGCGCCAGTCGCTCCAGTCGCTTGTAAGCCCGTTGCTCCAGTCGCCCGTGAGTCAGTTACTCCTGCCGCTCGTCTAGCCGCGGAGTCAGTTACTCCAGTTGCCCGTGTGCCAGTCGCTCCAGTTGCCAGTGTACCAGTTGCTCCAGTTGCCCGTGTGCTAGTTGCTCCAGTTGCGCCGTGTGCCAGCAGCTTCAGCTGCCGCCCACCACCTCCTCTCCTCTCATAGTCCCTCCTCCTCCTCACTTGCCCTCTCTGTCTGCTGCGCTCTTCTTGGTGTACCCCTTCCGAGGGTGTTTCTGCATATGGTTCTTCACTGCAGGCAGTTAGGGGGTGTGTTAGAATGTAATTGTATACATTACTTTATAACTGCCAGCAATGTAGACTTAGTGTAGTTATCTTGCTTGTTAGGTGGTGCACCTTTCTTCTCTTCTTTCATATTTGTACCCTTGTGTCAGAACATTATAGCTTATGCTTTTGTGTAGGCTGTAGTGGGGTAGCCTATATGGGGTACAACCCAATTAGGGTTAGTACTTGTACCCAACTCTTTCATACTGCATTCATTCTCGTTCATTTTTCACATGGTTTCAGAGCACATATGCTCCTGGCCTGTGGGCCCTACTACTGCTTCCGCTGCTACTCGATCTGTCGCACGCCCCGTGGCGTGCGACCGCGCGGCGATTTTCTCTCTGGCGCGCGCCCCGAGGCGCGCGGCCCCGTTCCTTCTAGGCACGCCACTCCCCGCTACCCCGTCGCGGCCCCATCTCGTCGCGTCGCCCTAGCGGCCGCGTCGCGCCGCCCTCGCGGCCCCGATCCGCCGCCCTAGCGGCCCTGTCACCTACCCCTGCGGCCCCGGCGCCGCCCATCCCGGCCCCGGCTCCGCCCTTCCTGGCCCCGGCGCCACCTCTGCTGGCCCCGTTGCCTACCCCGGCGACCCCGACGCCGCCCTTCCCGACCCGGCCCCGCCTCTGCTGGCCCCGTCGCCTGCCCCTGCGGCCCCGGCTCTGCCCTTCCTGGCCCCGGCGCCACCTTGGCTGGCCCCGTCGCCTACCCCGGCGACCCCGACGCCGCCCTTCCCGACCCGGCCCTGCCTCTGCTGGCCCCGTCGCCTGCCCCTGCGGCCCCGGCGCTGCCCTTCCCGGCCCCGGCGCCACCTCTGCTGGCCCCGACGCCGCCCTTACCGGCCCCGGCGCCGCCTCTACTGGCCCCGTCGCCTACCTCTTTGGCCCCGGCGCCGCCCTTCCCGGCCCCAGCGCCGCCTCTGCTGGCCCCGTCACCTACCCTACGGCCCCGGCGCCACCTCTGCTGGCCCCGTCGCCGCTCCACCCGGCCCCGCCGCCGTCCCCAAGCGGCCCCGCCGTCACCACCGAGTCGCCGGCGCTGCCGAGCTGCTACCGAGCCGCCCGAGCCGCAGCGCCACCTGAGCCGCCCGAGCCGCCGGGTCGCCGAGCCGCCGAGCTGCAGTTGCTGCCGAG